TGTCTTTTTTGTTATGCATTATAAAAATCAAATGGACTGTGTTAAATCTATAATTTAGCTCTTACGTGGCCAAAACAACAACCAGTCAATAAACTAAACAACGACCCTTTTTGTAGCAATCAAATTATTCTCTTTCGTATTATGTTTTTGTTTCCATTTACCTTTTTTTGAGTCATTAACACGTTTTCTTTTTTCTGTAACTTGTAATACTCATTTTTTTTACGAGTCAAAATGTAATAATAACGAGTCAAAATGTCTAATATGGGTCTTTGGGGTTGATTCACTTTGAACAAATCAACTGGTGGAGGTACCACGTTCTATTAAACTGTGATAAGCCACTATTAAAACTTCATAGATACTATGGGGCATGCACGTAAACCATGTTGTACTTAGTTTACGTATGTTTGTTATTTAGTGTTTCATATGTTCAACAGTCCTTGTTAAACTACATGTATAACATATATATACCGTAAGCATTTTATTTCCAAAGGGCAATATGGTTTGATCCAGCCAGGCAAAAATAACGGGGTATAATTTTATGGTCATGTATTTACTTTTCAGCTTTTTAAACTTTCAAGGACCCCAGGCAAATACTTTGGGTTGAGAAATATTTTTTGTTCTTATAAGCGGCTTCTTGGTTTGGGCTCTATATCCAACTATTAATCAAATTTCTACAGATATATCTCTTTTCTTATAAATGGCTTTTTACCGGCTTCGATAAAGTTCTTAAATTTGGCCTTAGAAAACGGTTTAAGTTAAAAATTGGTTTAGATGAGGTTTTAAATGTTTCAATAATTAAGTTTATTTTGATATTTTTTCTTATTAAAAATGCTGAATTGATACTTCATATAAATTGATCTGTGATTCTATTCAGAGTATCCTCTCGATCTTATGTTGTGATATTTGTGTTTTTGTACATATATCTAAATTAAAGCTTATTATTTGAATGTGATGTCCTTCAAAAAAACTTTTGAACCATTTAGTTAGCCCTGTTCATCAGTAAAATGTTGTTACATAATGACGTCATTTGTTGACGTCTCGTAATTGTCATATCATTATCTTTCATCTGTGTGGTCTGATTTACTCTGTATGTTTTATTAAACAATGTTAAGACATATAATAAATGAAAAGTCATAGAGAGACTGAAGCTCAGGAACTTTTGATCAGTCCTAAGTGGACTTATTTTACAAAGACTTATAGAACTTTACTAGTCTCGTCTACAAAGCTGAAACTGTAAGAAGTTGCCAATACAGTCTCTGTTGTTAATATGACTAATGGTCGCCGATTAAATCAACATTCAAATGATGAAGTTTTGTTGTTCTAAACATTGTTAAAGATAAGCCCAAGGTGTTTATATTTTATCCCCTATTTACGGGTGAAATAGTAACTGTCCTTATTTTTACCATCGCTTTCTGATGTAAAAGGCATCATCTAATCTTACTGATATATAGTCTGTCGACAGTTTGTGGTGAATTATTTGGTATTGTAATGATGAGACACCCCGAGTCATTTAAGAATTCTAATTCCAATAGATTTGGATTAGGAAATAGCCAATTAACACAATATTAACTTTATTATGGTATTATGAATTAGAAAAAACTAACTACGCCTGCGACAATCGCGCAAAACACTGTTATGCCAAAGAAAAACGGTAAGTCCATGACGCATAAAATTCGGTTTCAGTAGCAATTGCGTTTTGCTCGGCGTTTATCTTTTCTTAATTAGTATGAACAGTAAATAAACAGATAAAATTGACATATAATTGCAAATACATGTGATCAAAATATGATTCTTGTTTCAAAAACAATTGATGTTATATAACGTAAACGCCTGTTATAAATTGTTCAATGCATGGTATTTTAAGAATTTAGTTACACAATCTGTAAACACACTCTTATCCCTATTCTTTAAAACAATTACTAGGTTAGAAGCCGCTTTGCTTGAAAATGAAAATAACTATATTAATATTAATTATATGTAAGACTTTGACTACTTGGATATTCATTTTACAATGGATATAATAATAGTAGGTTGTTGGTATGGAATATCACAGTTGAAATTGTATGGAATATCACAGTTGAAAAAGAAGATTGAATTGGACCTGGAAATGTACAGATTTAGCCGTCACATATTCATGCGCCCGCGGCAACGCTATAGAAAGAATTAACAACTGCGCGTATACAGTACATGCAATATTTAGCGACTCTAATAAACTAAACAGTTATGTTATTAACAAAATAATTTTATATGATTTTAGTAAACATAACTATAGAACTAACTTTTTTTACTTAAATATTTTCAAACAAGACATGATCTAAGTGATAAGTTCAAAAAGTACTAGGTAATAAAATTGCATTTTATTAATAAAATGGTCAGGTTCGAAAAGGAAGAGATTTTTTTCACTTACTAGAGATAAATATAAGAAAAAACAAGAGGAATTTTACCATTTAATCATAAATGTATGTTTACTTTCATTAACATTTAATCATGAATATAGCAATTGTATGTTTATACAGTATGTGCCACTAATTTCATGGATAGGGGGCAGTTAGTTTTATTTTCTAACATGCGTTTGTAAACGAACCTTCTATATTACTATATTTCAGTGCTGGTAATTCTGCAAACAACGATCCTTTCGCTGTAAATAACGATCCATTTGCCAGTAATAATGGCATGTAAGACAAAAATTATGAACGCTTTCTTTCTTTCTTTTGTTCTTATAAACTCTATAATTCACGTTGACACATTTTTGGCCTAAAGACAACATTTTGAATTAATTGCTGGCGGCATGGTCGCAATAACTGCAGCTGTATGCGCGTGCTATGTAACATAGCCTTTTACAGCGTACGTTATGTGTTATCATGTAATATGTTAGTCTAAATGAATCGTTTATTTAATCACTTCCATAATCAAGACGCCACCTATGATGTTTTTTTTCTTCTAATTATATATTTTTGTATAGATTTTGTTATTCTATTTTATAATGCTTATTGATACCAATTAATTGGTTTTGTAAGTTATGTCAAATACAAGTATAAGTGAGTTAAAACAATGTTTTGTGCTGATTTAAAAATAAGGACGATTCATTTGATTAAAAATCGATTTGAAAAGAAATGAATCATTATAACATTTTATTATTATTTATACAATAACATATATTCGATAAATTGGAACAATCGAGAAAGATTTTGAAGTAAACACTTCTTGATAAATATGCCAAAATGTAATATTGTGTCAAAATATTGTTTGCATCCTTTAACGACAAACGTAAATAAAATGTGAAGTTTTCTCTTTTTTTATATAATACTAAAACATATAATCTAATAATACTATTGATAAACTTACACGCTAAAAAGTAGAGCTACATGTTAGAAAGGTTAAATTTTTAAAATGATATATTATTATTATTATTATTATATCAGAAAAAAGTACATATAAAAACTATCTAAAAGTTTTACTTCTAAAAGTTCTTACGTGAAAGAAGAATATAATATTTGAGTCATTTTGTTTCAATCTTACTTATAGGATGGACATGATGTTGTTAGGTGGATTTGGATTCGGTGGAGGACTGTTTGGGTTCTAAAAGTAGGTAATCAAAGCAAGCGGCTTATAATTGCTGAAGCTACAATCATATAAATATGTGCCCTGTTTATTCCCGTTGTTACGTGAATATCAGTAAAACTTCATCTCATTTGTCCTTGGCGCCTTTGCCATCCCATGATGTTTTAAATGTTTGCGAGACAATGAATTTTGTGCAGTAAATGTTGCATTTATATCATGGTTTGACGTGCTAATGTTGTATTGTTATTATTGTATTGTTGGTGTTAACTTTGTTTTGTTGTTAAAAGGCTTTTGATGATTGTTTTAATTCGTTGTCATTTTGTGTATACTTCTTATATGTGATAGTAAATCTATTGTTTCCTAGAATCACTTCAGATTAATTAAGTAGACAGTTAAATGATTCTTGACAAGAAAATATCAACTTCGTACAACCCACTTTCTCCTTTAAATAGTTACAAAGGTTTTTGTTTTAAAGTTTGTTTGATAAGAAATGTCAGAAGTAACAATGAAAGTTATGTGATCACATGTTTGTAACATTTTGTTGATATTTTTCTATGTTAGTCAAATACTGATGTGAGTAACGTATAACTGTCACGTGACTTACATTACTTGTCGGAAAGGAATGTGCGAAATCTATTGTTTGTTTTAGATTTTTACTTGTTTAGAATATTTGAAATTACAATAAATTTTGCATAAGCAACTTAATATCTTTTCATAAAAATTTGACCTTCAAAAAGAGAAAAAATTCAACCAATGAAATGATGTTTTCAATGATAACCTCGACCCGGAACATGTCGTATAGTATGTACCGTCATGTGCAGCTATATAAAATAAATAATGACAACTATGCGCATAAGACAAATATTAAGAGAGGTTACTCTTAAGTATATGACATGTTGGGTGCAGTAAATCAGCTGTTATATGATGGAAAAAAAAACGTTGCTCCCTTTCTTTGGATGTTTAATACGTTGACATTTACTGTAACATTAATTTGTACTTTCATTTCCTGTTTATACATGTTTATACATTACTGTATACATGCATACTTTTATAGATTTAAAGAAAACATACATCTTGCAACAATTACTCTCACGGAACAGCTATGTATAAGATTCGAACCAAACTCTGTTCTTGAACAGACTATTTCTATAATTTACATTAATTCTTGTTTGTTGTAAATTCTTTTGTCATTTCTGCATTTGTGAACAAGACATTTTTTATCTTTATTTTATTCTTCATTACAATGAGGCATAATGTAAATACCTAGTTTGGTATGTCACCAAAAAAGATGCATGTGCATGACACGTCTATGTATGAATTTGAATGATTCTGTTGGGTAAAATGTATATGTATATTTAATGGCTTTTATACGTATTTAAAATGTTTTTGGCAATACAAAATTGCATAGTTATGTTTCATTTTAGATAACAGAGAATAGAATCCAAGTCTTGTTTTTTCCTAGCTTTTAATTATGTTATAAATGTAATGGTGATAGATGTTATTTAATGTTATAAAATGAATATATTGTTCATTTACGGCCTATTTTGATAATTGCACACGTACTTCATGTGAAGTATGTGCCTCATTTCGGCAACTATATCAGTTTGATAATTAAACTGTTAATAGCCAATAGATATTATTGTAAAAAATGTTTTGATATGGACTTTGCATTTGACTGGCGTGGAGTGATTTTGCTAAGCAAGGAGACGTGGAAGCGAGTGTATTTATAGTTTAGTAAAATCCACGAAAGCCAAACACAAGTTACGTATAAATGATGCAGTAACAACTTTCCTTAATTGATATTCATCTCCGTATTAGATATGAAATTGAAAATATATATGTTCAGCAGTAATGTATTGCAATAATGTCTCCGTATCACATTTATACGCATTTTGTCGAGTATTTTTGTATTACATGTAGTAAGTATGACAAAATGTTACTTAATAACAACATATATATTTATTTCTGGCCAGCTATTAACTTCTTCGTTTTTAAAATGAAGTTATTTATCTATGGCTTTTATAAAGTCGTGTGACAATAAATGAACTAGTGTTAAGTTTTAAAAGAAAACTTCAAATAATTTATGATACTTTTCTGTACTTTAAATAGTAATGCCTATCTTGTGTATATTATTTAGTTAATAATACCTAGTTAAATCTTTATACATCATGCGTTCATTTATTTTTCAGGTACGGCCTCATGATGTTTGAGGGTCTCGGTTTCGGAGGTGCTTTTTAAAATCTTTCCAACAACTCACAGAATGTACAGTCACATATATTTTCATTACTGTCATATACAAAACACATATTTAACATGTGTATACATATAGTTATTTTAGAACTGATTTATTCAATCTTGAATTTTCGAAATTGTAAAGTAAATATTGTATTAATAATGATGATTGTGTTGAGTGATATCTCCCTTTATATGTCACCATGGGAACGACTGATTATCAGTTTATTGATGAAAAGATAATGGAAGCAAGTTTTATAATATTGAGTTTGTATCATAACAATTATAATATAAATTAAGGAACGATCGGTTTGTTTTTTTCTTGAATCCGTACACATACTTGCATGGTTATTTGAAGAGATGATAATAATGAAGCTACGAAAGAAATCATATTTAAGACCCAGTGCATCAAGTCCTTTATATCAATTGAAATTATTGTTGTTGTAATAGCCACACATCATGGCACTGGACAAAAATCATATTTACCAGGTATCTGTAAAGGACAGGACAACAAGTAATATTGACCAGTTTCCTGTTCTGTCCTTGTCATATAGACCGGGTAACATAGCCCCACAAATTATACTGTCCTTGTGTAGAGTTTCACAACTATAATGTGTCCCAACAGGAACATGCCGTATATTATAATTATACTTTTTATAATAACACTAGTGGTTACAAAACCTTAGAGGAATCATATGAAATCACAATAAAACAAATGTTAAAAGATGATCTTTAAAATGGTATAAGTAAAACATTTTGTTAAATTGCTGACAATCATCCATTAAAAAACAATCATTAACTACTTAATTGACTGTTGACCTCATGCTAGCTCCATTTTTCAAATGTCTGTACTCATGACGATGTAATTGTTGAATGGTAGCTGTGAAAGCTTTAGCGTAACTTATTCCAGAAGGACTCTTCCAAATCATTCCAAAAAGTTTAAAGGATTATCCATTTAGATATATAAAACTTGTCTGCGATGAATTATTCTAATTAAATCGAGTGTTGATGGTCAAATTTTAACTTGAATTTCAAGCTCTCATGGAATTTCGCTTTTCATTTCGTTTCTACTTTAAGCTGGTGGTCGTTTGATTGCAAATATTTATACCAATTTCTTTATTTCACAATCTCAAGTTCGAATGAAAATATTTGTGTATATGAATAAATAAAACACCTTCATGTAATAGCAGGCAACTTTCGTCGAAACCTTGCTTCGATGCTGTTTTATACACACCCACAGTCTAATTGTTAGTTGCAATAATGTAGTCTGTGTCGTGTCTGATAAATCTGCAACATATCTGAACTGATACCATCCAGGGATGTTTGGTACTAAACATGATATGAATGCTCGAGAGTTATGAAAAACGTTAAACACATTCGCCCGAAAATGCAGACCCGGTCTCACTAAGTTTGTTTTAATTAAGTTTAAAGAAAGTGCAACATATCTTGTGCCCCTTGTTCAGACATTAGCGGTATTCAATCCTCGACACATAAAGTATTGAAATCAACATTTTCTAAGATCAAGATGAGGTATGGTTACTCTTTGTTTTGTTTAAGAGGATGAACGATTAAGGAAATGTAGTTTTAATAGAATATTAAGTGCTCAATTCATTGGCTTTCAAGTGGCTTTCGATAGTATAAAGTAAAGTAGTATCTACATTTGATAATGCATGTACAAATAGATGAGAAACAAACTATAAGGTAGATATCTTTGCAGATATTTAATAAGCTCAAACAAACGCAACACGCACTTTATGAGAATAAAAGTAAGATTAAGTAAAGGGATTTTCAAATCGTAGGTTATATCATAACTATGTCAGCTTTGGTCACAAGGACACAAAATGAAAGTACAAGACGATTGATAATATTTCCATAAGTCAACAAAGCATGCCTTTATGTATGACACATGCAATGGGAAATAACCATGATGGCAATTATTGTTTATGTTGTGGTGTTTAGAAATAATATTTATATTGTAAGTGTTTATAAGAAAAGGTAGGTCTCTACCCCGCTTGGCACCATTGTTGTGGTGTTGGAAAATCCAAAGCTTTTTGTTGTCTATAAATAGAATTTAGTTACTTATTACCTAATATTTACTACAACTTTGCTTCATTCAGATCGAAAAGGTTTTAATAAGGGTATACAAATTTCAGAGGCTCATACAGGGCGTAATAGATAAAGAAAGATGGTGTTATAATTTTTTAAGATCAAACTAAGGCTTTTGATAGGGTACAATGGATTGGCCAGATATCTGCTTAAAAGGGTATGGTTTAGGAAACGGGTTCAAATGTGTTTAGTCGGCTCGGAAACAGCTCTACAAACAAACGGGTTTATTTCTGAATACTTTCAAATTTCTCGCTCTATTAAACAACGTTGTCCAATAGAGCCGTTTCTCTATATCTTACAAGCAAAACCAAAGGCTTTTGCAATAAGAAATAATATTAATATACAAGGCATTAAAATGCCTTCGTTAAATGGCTATGAGCTTGAATTAAAAGTAAGTCAATTTGTTAACGATACACAATTTTTTTGGGAGAATAAGTCGTCAGTTTCAGAAATATTTAGTACTTTGAAAGAATGTGAAATTTCCGCTGGGGCCAAAATGAATAAGTATAAAAACAAGCATCTTTATTGAAAAATCAAAAAAAAGGATTTCGAAATTTAAAGATAAAGAATGAACAAGAAATTCTGTTAAAGTTTGTCACGGCTATAATATAGATACGAACGAAATTTGGATGAAAAAGATAAACACAATTAAAAACTGTCTTCATGTATGTTAAGCTTGGGGTCTGAGTTTTAAAGGGAAAATTCTTGTTCTTAAAACATGCATGTATGTAGTTTCTATTATTAATCGTGCGGTATACCGACACAATACATAGAAGAAATCAAAAAAAATATGAGCGATTTTCTTTGGAACAATAAGCACCGTTAGTTTTCAAAAGAACAATTCTCCTTGACTTGAAAGACGGAGGTCTAAACTTTCCCAATACTTCTAATATTCAAGCCAGTCTAGATGTTAAAACAATATACAAAAGTATACATTCTGACATACAGAACGAAAATATTTTTTTACAAAAATATGATACTAATGGGGAAGACATGAATGATTATTTTCTATGTAAATGTTCTTCTTTAAATTTACGTTTCAAATTGAACATAAGTACGTTTTACAAATCCACCCTCGAAAATTGTTGTCGGTTTAAAGCGAAGTTTAAGCCAAAGTCTCTATCCGATGTATCTTTTTTGTAACTCTAAAATTCGTTTTCACGGGAAACCATTATTATAATTCAATTCATTTGTTAAAAGTAGTATATAGTATTTAAAGATATTTGGGATTTTGAAAATAATACTTTTATCAGCATAGACACTCTTGTAAGGAAATTAAAATGTACGCGTAATTGGATTGCCGAATGGCATATTCTCAAATCAAACATTCCTAAATTGTATATAACTGCTTTAAAAGACCATGATTATAATACAGTGTCGAATTACACTCACTTAGACGATTTTGAACGCAAACAAAAACATTGCATGAAAATATTACAATAAAACAAACATCTCATATATGAAATTATAAGACTAGTAAATTAAAAACCGAAAGCAAATGGGAAAGCTTACCTAATATGGAAATATGGAGTTACCATGGAGTAAAATATGGTGCCACGTTTATGATTCTTTTTCTTCATGCAAAGCTGTACAATTGGATATTTTAACACAATGTTATTTATACAGAATTCAACTGTCTCTTATGAGTTTATCTGATGGTAAATGTTGCATATGTAAATCTCACAGAGAAAAATTGTTTCATCTCCTCTGGGAATGTGATTTTGCAAATAATATTTGGACATTTGTAATTCAAAAACTTAAGTCCGCTAAAATTTTGGAAAATGATTTTTCAAATTTCAAATCTACTGCACTTTTTGGGTCTTTTAAACAAGCAATTAATAATAAATTGATCAATACTGTTATATTTGAAACCAATTGGCAATTTGGAAAAAATCGTAACAATCGTAACAATTGTAAGCATAATTATTCATATCAACCAATAACTATTTTGTTAAGAAAATTGTTCAATGTTATAAAATACCAGTTTGAATACAAGTGTAGAAATAAAGACGATACTGTGACAGAATTTTTAAAATATCTGAAATTTATATGAATATTATCTTTAATGTATGGGATGCAACTCAACTGAAATTATAAAATTAATTCACAAAGAGTTAATTCGCTTTTCAGCCTTGTCACTTTTCGTTTTTCGGACAAGTAAATCGTACATTTGCGAATTCTTATATTTATCACAATATCTTTACTGCTTCTTATTTTGTCAGAAATCAAATATGTACATGTTTAATTGTAAGGCTGATAAGAAGATGCCTCTTGACCACTATCATGCCAATGACGGGGGGGGGGGGGGGGAAATAAATAAAAAAAAAAAAAAAAAAAAAAAAAAAACCCCAAAATTTTCTACAAAAGATAATAATAATGACTATTGACTAAGTATAACAAAGTAATTAAAAGAATCAAAATACTACTTAAGAAACGTAACATCTTTATTAACATAGATATATAAATGTTAAATCAATATTATGTATCTCACTAAATTTAAAGGCCAGTGTAGAACCATTCTCCAAAGAGCCATAGGCCATGCTAAGTTACTGTTAAGGAGTGTATCAATAAATTCTACAAAGTTACATAATACAATTTTAATCAACATTATACTAGTGAATGAATAGAATGAAATATCTATAAAACAATACATGTTTGATATCATTAAACTTAAAAAAAATAAACTTAAATCCAAGTTTAAGTTTAACCTATAATATCTCTACAAAACTATATGTGCTGATTATATATGCTATACTTCTTGAGTAATATTATGCAATATTATGTAATGAGTATATGTAATGAGTACATAATCTGTTGTAGTTGGAATCCAACTTTACAACAATACACAGGCTTTTGAAGCAATGAATTTGTTCAAGATAAAACTTAAACTTAAAATGTATTAAACATATCTCATAGAAAAAGCATATTAATCATAGCATATCAAAAGTGTTCATGTCAATATGAAACTATAAAGTATAAAACAATATCTAGCAAATCTTCTTAAAGAATAAATAAAGAACATATTTACAAAATATACAAACAATTGAAATGATAATTATAAACGTCATGCAATATGGAAACAAATATATCTATAAATGAGATCTATAATTTCTTCTTTCTGTCGTCATCAGGGGTTTTCAAGTTTTGTCTTGCTAGGGTTTAGTAGTGTGCTGACACAATTGCCTTTAATGGCCATATTGTGCCCAATGTCTTTGTACTAGATTTTGCACTATTGTGGAACATGATATTTAAGCGAAATAACTAGTATTTAAAATAAGGGCGTGATGGCACAGCACCTTAAATGTTCATTGCACCCATGTCTTTGCACTATTATACACATGTTGCGCGATATCATTATTTTGTCCCCTCAGATGCGCGATTTGGTAATATGTCTCTCAGATGCGTGATAAAAATACTTTTTACTCAGATGCGCGATCTATAGATTTGTTTAAATTGAACGTGCTATTCATGTCACTTTAATCTACACTTTAGATTTCCTTTATCACTATTCATATAACATTTTAACACTAATTATTCATATAACACTTTACTGGAATTTTCTTTATCATTTTCTTTACAAAAGAACATGCATCTTTTAATAGAAACAATATTAAATTTTACTTTTAATTTGTATAAATGCCAAAAGTTTTATTAAAGAATCAGTTACACTACCATGTTAAAAAAAACAATTATAAGAAATATAGTTACAGCAGATGATTAACAATATTGGATCATTAATAAAGTGTAGCATCAAAATGGTTTAACAATTATGACATCACAAAAAGCATATGTGTAAGACATAGCTGCGAAGGACATCTATGCATATCTATGGACATCTATGCACATCTATGATAAATAAACACTAACTTAAGGATCATTACTTAAGTGAATAAAGAAATGTCTGTGAAACATATCACCAGACGCCTATAGATCTTAAATTCTATAGAAAATAATTAGACACAAACACTCGGTCTTCTAAAAACAACAAGCCATTAGAAATTAAAATTCTATATAATGACACTCATCAAAAGCAACTTAAATTTTTTATCATGGCATAAAAACTTACAGAAAAATTCGAATCTATTTATTGGCACCTTAGTACTTAGAAACTAATTTCTATCTACAAAAAATACAAAAATCTCATAGAAACTTAAATCCTATATCATGGAACCTCAAACCTATAGAGCTGAAAACACAAAAAAACACACTAAGCACAATCTAAAGCAGCACAGAAAAACTTGTAATTAACAAAAAATGTTACAAAATAATCACACAATATCAATTATTGTAACAAAAATTTAACGCAACATATCAATATCTTGCATATTATATATGCTATACTTCTTAAGTAATATCATGCAATATCATGTTATGATTATATAATATGTTGTAGTTTGAATCCAACTTTACAATATATAAACATTATTGAGGATCTGTTTCCTTTCAAATTAGTTTTTGCTTTTATATAACTGTAACACGAATTGGAATTTCTTACGAATTTAACACCAACATTAAAATAACAAAATTTAACAACTAAAAAGAGCATAAGGACAATAAAATAAAATAATTATAAGAATAAGAGAAAAAAGGAAATAGTGAACATGATACATTTGAATGGTAATAAACACAGTTTGAAAATAGGAAAATGGGATTAAATGATTTAGTGTTAATCGTGATTAGAGTAACATGATAATGCAAATTCTTATAAAATTTCCAAAAAGGAAATTAATTAAATAATTATATATAATACAGTTTTGAATATTATGATCTATATTTATCTGTTATTGTCTAAGATTATATTGTAGATTCGTTGGCTTTATAGATAAACATTTCCAAATTGTTTACAATTTGTACTGAATGAGGTCTGCAGTTTTATACATACATGTATTTGGGTTTATTATGTAATATTGGTAGATATACCTTTTTCTAATATAATTGTACAACATATATACGTATGCCAATCTGCTTTATGTGGGTTGGTATACAATGGACACATTTTCCATACTTGTTTTAAAAATTTCATGAAAACAATAGAATTGTATTATTTAGAAAATTTTATAAAACATTTAGCGGGGAAAATGTTGATATAGTCCAAGTAAATTAGTCTGAACACTCTCCTAGAACAATTAATTATCTTGCTTTGTATGGTTATGTAATATCGTATCATGTATCTTACATTTTTTAAAAAATAATTCTGTGCTTGTTTTCATGTATTACACAATATATATCATTAGTTTTTATTTTTAACTGACCATTTCACTCATGAAATAGAAAAAAAATCAGTATTATGCAATAACATGAACAATATCTAATAATGATAAAACAACAATGCAGAAAGTCGTGAGTTTGAAATAAATGCATGAAATAAAACATCACAGAAGACAAGAGCTGGTCGGACAAGGTGATGCTCCCACACAGAGAAGTAGTTTTTTGTTGATATCTGTTGTAGTTTCAGAGTAATGTCCCAAGCAAAGTTCAATGTGTAAAAACAAAAAGGGCAATAAGTCAAAAATTAGGCATGGCTGGAATACGTTTCTTATGCAGTGACTTTTACTAAATGATTCTATCTACCTACAAAGTTTCTTGTTGATTCCCTCTGATACCTCTGTGGTTTGAAGGTTATGCCCCGGACAAAGTTTAAAGTTAAAAATAAAAAAAAATTCAATCATTCCAATATATAGCAAGACAGACTTACATAAATTGTTTAGTTCTTTTTAAAATCGGCAACCTTAAAACGTTCATTATCAATATGTGATATATAACAAAGAGTAGGTATGACTGTTATTGTTTTATTTTGTGTAAACTGGTGTTTATCTTTCCAGAAATGAAGTAAGCTTATTGCAGATGATTATGTTAAATCTGTTGCTGGTTACAAATGAATCCGATGTTGAACATACTTAAAATGAGGGACAGTTATAATTATTACAATGTGGATGAAATTTCCATATATATCATATTGGTTTCCTTTAAGAAAATGTCGTCAACAAAGTAATAAAGGATAATCATCTATTTTTATTAACAACGGTGTAACTAACTTTAGGACTTTTACCTGGTTTAGGTTTTTTAAACTGTTTTTTCCACAATATGTAGACACTAATGCCAACAAGTATGACTATGACGAGTATACCAAGAATAAGTAAAACGTAGTGTAGCCATTTCCATCCAGAATCCGTCCAGGGAACGTGCGTGCGCTTTGTTCCATACAATGTTAAAGATATATTGTGAACACTTGTGATTTCTACAACAGATTTTCAATTAATACTTGAATTCAATTTATGAAACATCGTCATAACGACTTAAATATAAAATTAAAGAAATCTGATTTTTTTAAATGTTCACTATCAAATTTAACTATTAAACTAACAGAAAGTGAACAACTTAAAACTGAATATTGTTACGCAAATATTGTGGATAAAACTCATATTTTACATATTGCAATCATATAAAAGTTATTCTCACATTGAATTTACACATCAGACATCAGTTGACCTAAACTTCAAGTATACCGTTGTTTTAGGTTAAAAATGACAAATTATATCAATAGATGCTTTTTTTGAATAGTTATATCAAAGTTAAAGTTTACCACGAAGGTGCTTATTTTGTATAATCACTGTCCACATGCCTTGAGGTACCTCATCCCAGAAATGAACTGTCACGATTCGTCCTTCTCTACTATAGGGCAAGCCTTCCTGAAATTAAATATCATAATAAAACCTTTGTTAGCAACGATTAATAAAGAAAAGCATAGCGTCCTTTTGCGAAATCATTTTCTAGACAGTCTTTAATTAGTACAAAGCTATAGTTCTCGAATGCAAAGACATATTTTGAGCCGATGATAGGATGGAATGCCCTATATGTGTCGGCAAAGTGTCTAAAAATCCTTATAAAAATCTTGAGGTTTACATTGTGTTAGACTAAAAATGCAAATGTATATCTTTCTGATAAATATGCAATAAGAATATTACACGTGTTTAATCTTAAGTGTATTTAGCAGGGTGAAATGGTAAATGGAACAACTAAGTTTAGCATGTATGAATTAATTGTATTTATGGACAACCTGGCTGACATTTCTGTCCATTACAATCGAGGAAGTGTTGCTGGGTGAGATAATTTCCACTTTCATATGGTCAGTTGTTGTTGTAAAATTCAACGAGATCTCGACATGTTCAAGGGTTGTTATACATCTATTGCTTGCACAATTATACATCAATTCAAACTCTTGTATCAGGCTATCTGTAATCCTTCAACATAAAGTAAACTCTCTAATGCCTATTTTTTATTTGTATTTTAAGTAAAACCTTGTTTTTGAGGTGACATTGTAAATATAAATTTTACTGTAAAGAAGATCTCAAAATCAGTTTCGTAGATCATTTTAAGAACCGACTTGTATGTAATAGAACGCAAACGTACCTGCATAGTTTTCTCACATAAAGACATTTATGAGTTAGCTTCTTCATCAGAGCTGTAAACTGTCTAAATATTTAACAACTTTACAGCTACCTGATAGGTAAGGACTTCTGACTTTTATTTGAGAGAGAAATTCAAAAAGGGATGAAAAAATTAAATTGGTTATATGGTGATGTTTGTGCCACTTTGCTGAAAATGATTATATACCTCCTCGTGAACTGATCCACGCTGACTGATAAAAGGACTGGAACTGTCGAGTGATTCAAAGCCAGTTGAACAAATTTATCAGCGTTGAGCAGACCAAAGCCGAATATATTATGAACTGAAAATACAGTAATAATGTGTTAAAATATAACTGTAAACTTATCTTCATGTACTTTAAATACCGAATTCTTCTTTTCTTAAATTTTAAGACCGATGTAGTGTCAGATAAACAAAAAACTCCATGAAATACAATTAAGTATAAAATACTTTAATCATAATATTAACCGTTAAAAAAGTTTATCCAAATATCGATATTGATCTTAGAATTGATTTTTCTTTTGATCAATCTATATTTAAGTTGTAGCGTTATTCCTTTTTTCCAAAACAAGTTTGTTTCTATGCGCATGCAGAGCAGAAACTTTAGCTTTTTTGTACCATATTATTTTTAGTCTAATATGATAAATGTTAGGTCTTAACCGCAAATGAAAAAAAGTTAGAATGACTTGATCCTGATCCATTTTTCTAAACACAGGGCCTATAAGTGTTCGATATTTTAATCAGAAAGCAAGAATGACTTAGCAAATATTTCCACTTAATAAGAAGCCAGATATCTTAATACTCTTCTGCATTACTTTAAATATAAGTATTCTCTTATGATTTTGTTGATGTTATTACAGAAATAACAATGCATATGCTTTTTACATAAAGTTATTAAATATGAATATATCAACATATTTGATTACCTGATTTTTACGAATCAAAATAAAACTAATTAACACAACATGACATTAACTGCTAATAATAACAGCTCCTTCCATAGGCAAAAATAAAAAGCATTCCATAAGAGACGACGCCGCTCACCGGCGTCGCCAATAAGGTTTACATTTTAAGCATGCTCCATTTGTACGTAACGTAGTTTTATCTTGCAACTGTTCTACGTCGGAAGCTTTCACTAATATATGCTGCACATCCCTCAAACTAAGCTTTGGACTGAAAAATTCATGTTTCACATTCACTTCAAAATTCATTATCATTAAGATACATAAAGATTTAATACTGAATGTTATATATTTTCAATTATTTATGTTTGTTTTATGAATTTTCCTATTATAACTTTATTAAATGTAACTGAATAATTAATTTAATTGCTGTCATATATTTATAATTTTGATTCCATTGCATCATAAAAATGCAATGTTTTGTAAGTTACTACATGACAAATTGAATTAATGTCCAAAATATTCTTTTACCTAAATTACAACTACACAATTTGTTAAGTTTATTGTCTCAAATGTACATCATATGAAACATTTTTAAGATCATGCAGCGTCCCTGAACAACCAGAGGAATCATAATTATTAGCAGTGGTAAGATGCACTTAAAAGATGATATTTTTAACAACGAGTTTTGTATTAACAGGGTTTATATTCAAACACACATTTATGTTATCATTAATGTATATAATTGAATCACTATTTTCTTTAGCCGGATTAAACAATAAATTTCTTAGTTACTCCTCAGCTGAACATTGTGATGAAACATGTTTCTACTTTTGTCTTACGAATTGCGCATATTCTAACATGTACTTATAGATCTTCCTATCTCAGGCATTATAGGTTCAACACCGCAGGTAATATTTTGAGGGATTACCTCCGATTTGCATACATAGGAACATTTACATATATCTCAGTATAAATGGTATTCTTGAAAAATGATAAACACGCAACTTATTAATAAACTAATCAACGGTTTACGTGATATTTATTATCAGTGAATGTCCTTCAGTAACAACGTAAAGAAATAAAGCTGATAGAAACGCAAATGAATGCAAATAAGAATTAGTCCCTTACTTTGCCTGTAATCCCAAGGCTATTATACCCGAAACTTGAGAAACTGCCGCTGAAAGACCTTTAAAACTCGTAATGCATTTGTTCCCATGGGATGTTGTTACCTTAAAAAGTACATGCAAAATTATGTCAAAAGATCCTTAATTCCGAAATGGACAGATGACTCTAGAATGGTTATAACAATGTAGGAAAGAAAAGTTGCATATAAAGTTTGATTGAATTAATTATCTAAGAATCATAAAACAAGAATGTCTAAATATGCGTAAATTATCACCATGAATGAAGCTGAAATATTGTTTCCATCTCGTAAACCAGATGTTAAGGAACTTGTATCTATAGTTGCATTATCGGGTTTTGACCCTCGCTCTCCTATACCGTTCACAGTAATTGTGTGTCTGTTGTGAGAGAGAGCATTCCCAACAGGACCAGCAGGAACAACATAGATCGTACCAAGTCCTTTACGACCCTTGAAAAGGCAGACATACCATTATAGAGAGTTACTATACATTATTTTAAGGGGGCTATGCATGTTAAGAAGCTTAACAATAAATATTCGATAAAATCAAGATCCACTGTCTTTTCAAAAGGCGATATTCGCTTCTTTTAAATATTTTAAAAATAAAATGTGTGTGAATTAAGAATAAAAGCAAAATCGTCAAACATAAAATTTTTATCATAAAATGTGGTCAATTATTCTATGAAATATTCCAAAAATTAAAATTTGAAAAAGAAAATAATTTCAAATAAAAAAATCCCCATTGGATATGATAACTGCTAAAACAAAGTAGAAAAATGAATAATACATGAGTTGCTCCTTCATCAATTGCTGCTTTTATAGATATGTCCAATTCATCAAATGGAGTTTTCGAAGCATACGAATTTATAAAAATGTCGATTTTATCTAACTCATGAACATATGACCTCGAAATACTATCAGTTCTCGTCAGATGGTACAAGGAGCTCCCATTTAGTACAAGCTCATAAGCTTTAATCACTGTGGAGAACAAATAGAATTGAATTATACAATTTTGACGCGAGTCCAACAAAGAGAAACAACATTCGAAACTCAAGTTCTTTGCTGTTTGATATTTAGATTCATACAAAAAAAAAACGCATTTGGCAACAGTTTACTCATAAAGTTCAAATATTAGATTGTGAAAGATGGGCAAACATGAATATTTAGAGAATTAGTAGTTTTATGTTATGTTGCCATGGTATAAAGTTTGCATGTTATTACGTGCCACGACATGCGGTATGAAAGTGCAATTTAAATTATGTAGGAATTTAGTTCTTTTGTTAGTATTGTTTTGTATTTTCACTTCAATTGTAATCAAAATAGAACATTTTTAAAATATAGTATAATGACTTTTAATCTAAGGAAACTAACCTACAATTCTAGCATCATATGCAATTCCGGCGCTGCAAATGTTGTTGTCCTTTTCAGCTGCTACTATACTTGCCACTTTATTACCATGACTGCGATATACATGTATATTAATTTCATATAACATGTAGAAATAGCTTATACCTTCAAAGAAGTTCCGTTCAATCTGCTTTATTTGTTAATAAGATTAACACTATTATGATATATATCACTAAACAAAGAAAAAAACTTACAAATTTCTCTGCAAAAGTTGACTATAAATAGTAAAAATACTTTACTCGGCAGGTGAAGGCGGCTTTTCTAATGAATCTTTAAAGCTTTCTGGAGCTACATTTGTAGAGTTCTGACTAAAGTTCTTGCAAAGGTCGCAATTGCCCTGCAAAATTCACTCAAGAGTAATATAGTATTTCTTAATCGTCAAGTATATCTTGAACCAACAAAATCCTTACATATTTTGAAAAATTCTTAAACCTGAAACTAAACCAGTCACCGTGACTTTTAAAATTGATACATTTAACAGATTTAAATTCATATATTTTAATCCCTAATGCACTTTAAGTGACAAAAAGATATTTCTAATGTGAAATTATCTACTTACAATATTCCGTTTCAAGTCCTCCAGATCTGTATTTATCCCGGCATCAATGATGGCGATTCGTACCCCTTTGCCTGTTATGTTTTTTGCCCAGACCTTTTGTACATCCATTCCGTAATAGTGGCTACACACCAGGTTTTCCTTCATTACAAACAGTGTTACATTTACTTTGATAATAAAGTTAGACATCTGATACGAATATACATGTACAAAGAAGAAGTGGATAGTTATTCTATAAAGTAGTTACTTTACACATATTGTTTTATCATTACCAATTGAAGAAAACAAATAACCTACCGAGCTAATGTCGGTACTGTCACCAGTATGTCCATCCGTTGGTTTTAAAGTATCTTTGTATTCTCTCACTTGCTGTATGGCAATGACCTGCATAATATAAATTTGTTGGCTATTCGAGTGTTCTAAAAATGTGTTACGCTGTCTGAAATGTCCTTTATAAAGACATTGTATGTTTATTCTAACACTATCAACCTTTAATACTTTTTTCGCATTCACGTCTAAGAAATTAATTATATTTATTACATTGTCTAAACTTAATTGCTGTGTAAGTATATTACAATGTCTTTAGGAAAATGTCTAATTCAAAGGGACTCTTCTTGAGGCAGATGGCGCAGTATAAACATTAGCTGGATATGTTGATAGAAAGTTCATAAAGTATCTCTACATCTTAAACAAAAAAGGAAACATTAACTATGTAATTTATGTCCCGAAACATCTTGCAACTGTGTTGTATAGAAGAAAAGCGAATATTCGTGTCATTGGTTTCTTATTATTTGGATGCAAGGTTTATTTTGTGTAATTAAACTAATTTTATCGATAACTTTTTCTGTTTCAAAGTATTGACAATTGCCTGATGTCTTGAGAAGAGTGTTTTCAGTATGATACGGCATTAAATAGCAGGCTTAAACACATTGTATACACTTCTTAAGTTGAACCAGGAAAACGATGTGTCTTCGATTGTTTTGATCTTTCTTTATGCTAGTTAAACCCTTAGGATTTTGAAATAATGTGACTTTTACCGCAATAGTTATCTTTTCATTTAGTTGGGATTATAGATCGATAGTTTTCCCAATCGTTGAATACGATGTGATCTTCAACGGCAGATGTAATATTGATCGATGCGATAGTGAAATTATAAAATAAAATCACAAAAAAACACAACCTTATACAACTTAAAGACGCACCTGTCAGGCGTTCAACAACTCTCTACGTGAACGCTGCGCAAAAAAGTAGATCAAGTTTATACTTTAAGATTCGGACAATCCAATTCAGCCAGTGAATATGATACTCACCCACTGAATCACAGGTGGCATTATCAGTGTTTGGACACCCCATCCCTCTCTGCCCCTGTATCCCTACCAATGTCCAAACACTGATACTGCCACAAGTGCTGTGAATTATTTTATAAATTGTTCTGAACCAATGATATTGCAGCTATTATAAGATCGTATTATAATGTAACATATTTGAATCCATTTTATTACCGGTATAGGATGCGTCGTTTGATTATTTTCAAAACTAAGCAATATATTTCAGATATGTTCAAATATAAATCAAGGTGATAAAATTTATACTTTTATGTGGAAAATTATATATGAAAACACATTTTCTTTTACCTGATTAGGAAAAGTTTTTTGTACGTCTTTCAATACTTGGTGAGCATGTTTGTGTCCGTGGTACTTAAAAATGTACACCGATGACGTAATCTGCAACAAATATATACGATATGTAAAATTAAGAGCACATTATGTCTCGGTATCGGAAAATATTTTCCTTCTTTAAAATGGCAAATGCGTTTTAAACAAATAACTTGTGAATAATGGTTTTTATGTAAGATCTTTATCACCTGAGGTAAGTAGCTCTGAATGTGAAATTAATTTCCTTCAGGGGCATGAAAAGCAAAGAGTCTGTATTATCAGTGCAGTATTGAATTTAGAAATATATGTTATAAGAATTAGGTGTCGAATGGAGTTGCCTAAATAAATCAAATTAAAAAGTAAATTAGACATTATTCTGACTTAGGAAACGATTCAAAATTTACAAAAACTGTTTATCTTTTCCATTATCAATATATAATCGATCGGATTAAAATTATGCTTATCTCACCCTTCAGAGACGACCTTCAACTTGATTTACAACATGATAAGTGAAAAAAAGTTCTGCAAATAAGATATTTGAACTTTTCGTTGAAAAATAAAAGAACAATATACATAAATGTGATAAACGTGTGTTACTGGTCAACCATCTAAAACAGCATGCCTTCAAATTCATGCTAATTTTCACGAAAAATTTGAAAATGTTTTCTAAGGTAAAATAATGTGAATTGAACAAAGACAAATAATTGACGTGATATACAATCATCGTAAATTACCTAAAAGATGCCATAGTTACATAAACAAACCAAAAAAAAAAATATAAAAAAAATAACAACACATTACTGCGTTTGTCATGATGTAGAAATATAGCGATAAATACTTAAAAATCATTCATTAAGCGCATTATTACTAGAATTTTGAATCTTTGTTTTTACTTTTCTTAAAATCTTAGTAAATTAGTTCTCATGAAAAAAAAAACCCCAAAAAATAACATATTAATGTTAAGGTAGTTTATTTTCATAAAGACTATGGATCATTGATTTTTGTTTTCTTTTCCTGCCAAACCCTGAGTTGCAGAATTAAACAATTGTAATGAACTTACGTATAATATCGGTATATAATTTCCTTTGAAATGTTGTTTTAATGGTGAAAATAGACTTACCTTGTACAGTACGTACAACTTTATCTCCCTGAAATCGTCAATGAGTATATCTGTATATTTCTCTTTAACTTTAATTGAGAACATATTTTTTACATTTCTGTTTGCTGCTGTAAAAACAGACAGTGAAAGCACAAATAATAGTACTTTCATAGAAGACATTTTTATTCAAACTAACACTATTTTGTTTCAATAACCTTTCAAAGTTTATTACGGCCGCAGCTTGCTTCACTTTATATAGCTGATCAAAATTACAATTATTCTATATAAACATACCTGTTATACGAGGGATGATCAAAATGCTCGCTGGCAGACTAACATAACTTCTATTTTTATTTCAATTTCAAATATCTGCCGATAAATTAAAACAATATACTATAGAGGGGATCGGGTTGTCTATTATTAACCATGACAACACTCCTCCATATCGGGTAACTAAAACATATGTATCGCTACATTATCTTGGATTTGATATTCCAAATCACCTTCATTATAGTGTTGTTATTGTTTCCTCTTCCCAGTTATCAAAAATTATCTTTGGGACATTAGTGCAACACTGATTAGAAGGTAGCTACCGTGGTACATGAACATTGTTGAAGACTCCAAGGTTTTAAATTAACAACATGACCATTCAAGAGTATATTGCGAGTGTTGAGGTTAAATTCAAACTAACTTATAAAGTTTTGTCATTTTTTCTTCAATTTTATGATAAACGTCACTTAAATGTACAAGTACCCATTGACACGTATTGTTTGGCAATATTGACCCAAGACTCATTCATTTTCGGGAAGTTTTTCGTTAGTTTCTGGCATTTTTTATGATTTACCCTCATGGTTTTAATGATAGTTTAGATCTCGATACTTTATTCAATATATACTGCTTGATGACATAGCGGTAAGAAAGGCAGAATTTGCCACGTAATTGCAACATAGAACAATTTCTTGAACAATATGTTTTATATAATTATGTTAATTATTTGAAACATGAATTGATGAAGTGTGTGTTTTATTTCTAGTATATTAATTTATTTCATGATTTTAATAAAAACACAATTTTTTCATGTCATTTAAAAATCAGTGAAATCGTATAATGAGTGATTCGCATGCAATATCCTTCGGAAATTATCGTTAATATTAAATTTTTAGTGGTGAAATCTTTTTATCCTAAATATTTGCATTATCTGGATCAAGGTTGACGTCCCAGATATGACATAGTTGCGTTTTTACTTTAGTAATGCAACTGCGATATTTTTATTATTTGAAGTATATATACATTTTTTAAAGTCAACGAACTTGTATTTCATCAATTTTACCGTTGTAGGAATTCATAGACATCGCATGAGCATTGATCACCCCTCGGGTAATATGATTTATAGATATATATCATAGATCGAAACACGTTGTAAAATGTTGACAAAGAAGAGATATGTTGCCTAAATTTTTATTTTATTTTATTTCATTGATTATCACTTAAACTATCAAATGAAAAAAAAAAAGATTTACTAGTATTACACTTTGATCAGTATTCTACAAGAGTAACAATAACAGTTTGTATTAACAAACACAGAAAAGATTTATTGCGACAATTTGCGCAGTTTTATAAACGAAAGTATTTGAAGAACAGCTCTTTGTCTTCCGTTTTTTCTGAATTGTGATTTAAACCTGTGAGGTAGCTATATATTGACAATTAATATACATGGTATTGGCATGAACGTGTTATAAAAAACCACTTATGAGTTTATACCGTCAGATTTTTACCATTTATTCAATTTATGGCTTCTGCTATGCTCATATCACCATGCACTTAGTATAGGACATAAACTTATTGCTGTCAATATTTTGCACGTCTTTCTGTTACTCTATATAACATATCCATTTTTCCCACTAAAACAGTAAGCTTTTGTACTTGAGAAAATACGTTCTCAACTTGTTGATCTTTGTGTAAGACCCCGTTCCTATTCAGCATCCCATCACAAAGAAACCCTTTAAAATGCATGCAGTAAAAGATTGAAGTTTTGTTACGTAATATTTTTGTATTAACTTCGTTTTTTTTCCAGTCGAAATGAAATGAAACCACCGAATTCGATAGATGTTATAATCATTATGCTACTCGGGTAAATGTGTTTATACCAACTTTTAATGAATACGTTATCGTGTTCGACTTATATACATCAATAGAGAAGAACAAACATTAGCGGATACTCGTAAAATCCAGAAAGCAGGCACCGATGCTGCACGTTGTTTTTTTTCGTGACTCAGAGCGTCATGTAAAAGCAACCTACTTCAATAACCGACCCGGTATTTCATGATCAAAACATAACTGTGAAAACGACGAAACCAGTAGATCTATCTTTAAACGAAAAACAAGTATCGAAACGTGGAATTAACACATCAGAAGTATACTTTTATGCAAGAAGCATTCGGACTTATTTTCCTCTGATACTTATATTTATTACATGCTTTTCGATGGTTTATAGAAATATATCAGTGAATTAAAACTGATAATTTCACTGTCTGAAACAGTGAAATTACCACTTTGATAATTTCACTGTTTTGAATTTAACCCCTTACGTTGTTTCAGTGAAATACCAGCGTGCACAGTACTGGGTACCAACTTAATGACGTGACGTCGTAAATGACGTCACGTTATATTATTATTTGGCGCGTTTTTCATTCAGTATTAGGTATAATGTCTTTTTGAAACGTTTCTTTGCATATGATAAAAAGAAAATTTGTTTAGTTTAGTGTTAGATAGAAATATATTTCACCTTGTGAACACCAAAAGTTCATATTTCACTCGTGGCTGCGCCACTCGTGAAATATACCTTTTGGTGCTCACTCGGTGAAATATATTTCGATCTTACACTGAACTAAACAAATATCCTCTATAAGTTAGAAAGGAGCTCGGTAATTTCACGCATGCTATAATGTTTGAAAATAGCGCAAGCATGTTGAAGTCTAAAATAAACTGGAAATGTGACAAATTCATGTATCTTAAAGCTGCATGCCTCCAGATGAGCCAAACTATTTCAAGAAAATCAAACTTTTGGAAAACGTACTAAGATTTTTAGAAAAGTATTTAGATTCAAGATTCAAGTAATAATTTACATCTTTTGTGCGATTAACGATTGGTTTTGCTGTATTTATCACCATATTTCTACTGCGTTACTAACGTAGTAAGGGTAATTTTTGCATATTTCGACCTATTTTTTGTAATTTATGTGGATTGTAAGTGCTGTTTGCAATATATAGATTACTTTCTTTGTTCACTTTGTCAGGCTTTAAATATGCACGACACTGGTATGTCAGTGTTTAAATATGCACGACCCTGGTATGTCAGTGTTTAAATATGCACGACCCTTGTATGTCAGTGTTTAAATATGCACGACCCTGGTATGTCAGTGTTTAAAAAATACACGGAACTGGTATGTCAGTGTTTAAATATGCACGACCCTGGTATGTCAGGTTTAAAATATGCACGACACTGGTATGTCAGGGTTTAAATGTGCAGGACACTGGCATGTCAGTGTTTAAATATGCACGACACTGGTATGTCAGTGTTTAAGTATTCAAGACACTGGTATGTCAGTGTTTAAGTATGCACGACACTGGTATGTCATTGTTTAAATATGCACGACACTTGCATGTCAGGGTTTAGATATGCACGACACTGGCATATCAGGGTTTAAATATACACGACACTTGCATGTCAGTGTTTAAATATGCGCGACCCTGCCTTGTCAGGGTTTCAATATGCACGACACTTGCATATCAGTGTTTAAATATGCACGACACTTGCATGTCAGGGTTTAAATGTGCGCAGTCCTGGCATGTCAGGGTTTAAATATGCACGTCATTGGTATGTCAGGGTTTAAATATGCAAGACACTTGCATGTCAGGGTTTAAATATGCACGACACTGACATGTCAGGGATTGAATTTACTAGGATGTGTTTCGGTCATTTGTGTTTCTTTCTTTCTTTGACTTTCCACAGGTATACTAATTGTCCATACTGATTTGACTATAGTTCATTAACACAATACTTTCAAATACTTTGCTTAATAAATTGCTTTCATATGGTAACTCGTGCTCACGTTAGTAAATCATGCGCACGACTGATTATATTTTACACAAGACTAAGTAAGCATCTTGCTTTTATATACAATGTAGTAACTCGTGCTCACGACGTGGTATCTCGTGCATGACTAGAATTAGTATAGATCAAGAATGTAAACTTATTCTGTATGCCGATGACAGTGCAATTCTTTTTGCTCACAAAAATCCAAGTATTATTTCTCAAAAACTTGGACAAACACTAGAGTCTTGTTCATCTTGGCTTGTAGATAACAAATTGTCACTTCATCTAGGAAAGACTGAATGTCTTATTTTTGGTTCCAAACGTAAACTAAAACAAGTTAAAGAGTTCAAAATTGTTTGTAATGGACATACTATTGAATCCACAAAAATCTGTTAAAATATCTAGGTTTTAATATTGATGATTCTTTGTCAGGTGAATCTATTGTTATTGTATTCTTACAAAGGTGAATTCACGTCTTAAGTTTTTTGTATAGGCAAGCAAATGTTTTAGATTTTAGGACTAGAAAATATTTATGCTCAGCACTAATACAATGTCACCTTGATTATGCATGTTCTTCTTGGTACCCGAGCTGAACAAGTGTTTTAAAAAATAAGCTTCAAATTTGTCAAAAAAAAATTGTTAGATTTATACACGGTATGGGACCTAGAGATAGTGTCAATAATGGTTATTCCTTGCTAATATGTCTTTACTAAATGTAGAAAACAGAAATAAGCAATTACGTCTTAATCATGTTTTTTAAAATTGTTAATAACCAGTGTCCTTCATATATGATAGAAAAATTTTATACCTGTTCGAGACATTCATTCTTATTCAACTCGGTCGAATCAGTAACAATTTTAGGGTCCCAAGAAGTTATGGGAAAGATAATGTAACTTTTTTTTCAAAAAGCAATTAATGATTGGAATTCCTTGCCAACATACATCAAAAAAATTAATAAGATAGGAATTTTCAAAAGCTCTGTGAAGGCCCATTTACTAGAACAGTTAGTTAGTAATCATAATTAAATCCACTAGTATGACTAGATATTGATCTCATTTTTATTGTTTTCTTTTTAGCAAAGTTAATGGAAATACTAAAGTTTGATATTTTACGTAAATGACATCTTCCAGTTTCCAAAGTTTT